GAGGGCGGCGGAGGAGCTGCCCATTGGCAGAGAAGTGGGCAGCCGCCCCTGATCTCAAGAGGATACGAGGTTTGTCATCCCCCTTGGGAACTGGAGCCAGATTTGGAATGGACTCTCACCAGGAGCAGAGCACTCTACTACCCGACAGCAGGGTTCTCAACCCTTTTCTTTCTGGGCCCCTCCCCATGCGATAAAACTCCACGGCCCACTTGTGCCCCAACAACTGTTTTTCTGCCTATAAAAGCCAGGGCCAGTGTTAGGGGGTAGCAGGCAGGGCAATTGCCCAGGGCTGCACGGCACAGGGGCCCTGCGAAGCTATGTTGCTCAGGCTTCTGCTTCAGCCATGGGTGGTGGGGTTCAGAGCTTCAGCCCCATGCAGTGGGGCTTTGGCTTTCTGCGCTTAGCCCCAGCAAGTCTAGTGCTGGCCCTGCTTGGCGGACTTCTTGACACCTGCTTGTGGCCTAGGGTGACCAGATGTCCTGATTTTTGGGTCTTTTTCTGATATGGACTCCTATTACCCCCCTACTCCCTGTCCCGATTTTTCACATTTGTCCTCTGGTTACCCTCCCCCCAGGAGGTCCCGGACCTCTGATTGAGAACTACTGCCCTACCACATGCTGCAATATGAACAGAGAACTGCACTTAACCCTGCAGCCGCTGGGGGTCTCCCTGCCATAGAAATATGGGTGCAAATATTCTCCTTGGCGGAATGGCCATCAGATCCCTTCCTAACCCTAGGAGGCAGGGTTGAGACATGGCCCCCAGGGTATTCCTCAGTGTCCCTGGCACTCTGCCGTCTCCAGAGCTGGGACGCTGAGAAGGGTGAGAATTGACTCCTTTACTCTCAAGAGGCAGAGGATGCTTCCCAATTCGCACCCCTGCAATCCCATAAGTAGGGTGACCAGACAGCAAGTGTGAAAAATCGGGATGGGGTGGGGGGGGCTAATAGGAGCCCAAATTAAAAAAAAAAAAGCCCCAAATATCGGGACTGTCCCTGTAAAATCGGGACATCTGGTCACCCTGCCCCTAAGAGGCATTTCATTGGAAAGCCACGAGAAAAATCTGTGTCTGACCTCGAGCGGCATTGCGCCAGGTAGCAGCCTCCCTCCAAGTCAGGAATGGACAGCAGTGACAAATGGACATGGGGAAGCAAACCCCAAATACAGCGTGAACCCCTCTCCTGGTGGGTTTATCCCGCCGCTGACAGCGACCCAAGGGAGCTGGCTTTTCCCAATACGTTGTTGGCAGCACTTTGTACAGCTTGTCATGTCACTGACGTCATTGAAGTGAAGAGAGCGCTCCCCCGCTCCGCAGTGAGGGCTCAGTTCCCAGTCTCCCTTACATGTCATGTGGTTCTTTCCACCCGTGCCAGTTGCTACCCAATGAGAATGGTGCAGGATTTTTATACCCACTTTGCACAAGTGCGACTGACCGCACAAGGTGCAGGGAAATGGAGACCCTGGCATGCTGCCTCGGGCACTTGGCAGCACGTCCTGACTGCTGACCCTGGAATAGAACCAGAGGAAAATGTTTTCCTCCTGAGGATCTGGGATCCAAACATTGCTGTCCTTGCGCAGGCGAAAATACCTCTCATTTTCAGTGCAGGCTGTGGCCCCAGGCTGCCTGTCTCCTTTCCTTATCCGCTCGCTTAACACCCCTGGTAACAACAGTGCCAATCAAACCCAGCATTGAACGCAGACAGCCTTGACTAAGCAACTCCGGGAAGAGCTGTCAGCCATGGAGCTGTCACAACCTCATCAGCTCTGCATGGAAGGAGCCACTGCTTGATATTCTCGCCTTACGCTGGGTGTCGAGACTGTGCTCCGTGCTTGACCGGGAGATGGCTTCCTGAGCCGAGAATCTGCCTCCCAGGCGTCAGCACTTGCTGCCGGGATTGTGGGGGATGGATTGTGGCTGGGCTCAGCTGCTCTAGTTGCAGTTAGGCAGGAGGGTGTACGGAGGATGGAATTTACTGGTGCTTTGGGGTTTTCAGAGTGTGGGAAGTCAAACAGGATCCTCTGGCCCCCAAACTGTGTGGCCAATAAACAGATGCTGTGTGCTGCTCCAGAGGTGGCTGCCCTGAAGTGGAGGGTTAAGTGATCCTTGTGTGGCCTAGCAGACAGGGTGCTGGACTGGACCAGAATAGCCCTGGCTTCTATTCCTGGCTCTGGTAACGGCCTGCTGGGTAACCTTGGACAAGTCACTGCGTCCCTCTGTGCCTCAGTTTCCCCGTCAGTAAAATGGGGATAATGACAGTGACCTGCGTGGTAATGCACCTTGGGAGCTATGTAAGAGCGAGGTAGTCTTGTTACAACCCCCACTCCCCCCGGAGGGGTAACGAATGCTCTGAGTGTCTCCGCAGGAAGCTGCTAGAGAAGCTCAGGGGGGTGTAATCCTGCTGACTTTGCTTTGTTTAGGGTTTTTTACTTTACCCTTCAATCACTTACACCCTCTGCTTCAAAATCCCAACCCTGACTCCGTAATGACACCTCCCTCCTTTCCCATCAGGGGCTGATCCCAGAGAGCCTCTTCTCCACTCCTCCAGTTCGTCTTATTGCCCTGGAGTGGTGCCGTCGCCCTCCCACATAATGATGGCGCAGGTTACGTTAGAAGCAGGTGAGTAGCCCCTTTGAGCTCAGTGGGCGTGAGTCTGAGGTGCTCTGCACCTGGGGCAGGCATGGAGGGGGTGGGGAAGATGGCTTTACGCATCCCTGTGTGCTCCTTGTATTCCTGGGCCTCCCAAGCCCCAGTGTAAGTTGGAGTGGCCAAGGGCTGCTCTAGCACTCTGCCTCCCAGCAGCTGGGGAAACAGAGACGAGCCGTGGTGCAGTACACTCTGCCTGCACCTCTGATCTGCCCTGACTCTGGGAGCACTTGCAGGGCCTCTGTGCTGGCTGGCAGAGAGCTGCATGGGGGAGGATACTCAAGGGGGTGCATTTCCCCTCACTTTAAGGCCCCTTTATGC